GAGTTAAGGTTAATTTTTCCTTTTTATTCTATGAACATCCATATTGTTGGTCAAATCTCTGGTATTCTTGAACATGTTTTTAAAATATTATCTTTTCAATAATGAAAAACATACTCGAATAACACTTGATGTGGGTCTACAGCGAAACTAGTCGTGTTTGTTTTGATGTTTTATTTATGAGGGTTTTAGGGTAATAAATAGCCGCGACTCGCAAAACATTTGCAGTAGCTTTCATACCCTCCACTTGAATTTTCCTTATTCTATCATTTTCTCGCGCGGCATTTAAGCTATGTTTTCTTGCAGGCATTATGTTAAATCGATAAATACTGGTCTGTTTGAAAAAATCTTATGCGGTCAAACAAACAAACTTACATGGACATAGATGAAGGAATAGTCAATAAATTACTTAAACTTGCAGATTATATTAAGGTCTTGAGTGTTTCCAGCTATGCCGATTTATAAAAGGATTTAGATCATTTAGTGAATTGGGCAAATACATAGTAGACGGGTTTTAATTACAATAAACTCAAGATAATGTATGTGGGTTATCATAATTTGAATTATAAGTATAATTTTCATGAGAATAACCTTAACAGTGTCAAGAAGGAAATGGATTTTAGTGTAATAGTCAGTCAGTCTCTAAAGCCATCCAAGCAGTGTGCTGTTGCTAGTGGTAGGGCAAATATGATTTTAGGTTGTATATACAGAAATATTGAATACAAGTCTAAAGAGGTTATAATTTCATTGTACAAGTCATTGGTTAGGCCACATTTATAATATTGTGTCCAGCTTTGGGCTCTTTACCTTAGGGAAAACATTGAATTGTTGGAAATGGTTACTAGAATGGTGCCTGGGGTGGAGGGTTGCCATACGATGAGAGGCTGAAATCTCTCTCAAAAAAAAATAAAAATAAAAATAGGGGGGTCTGATTGGGGTGACTAAGATTGTAAAGGGAATTGATAGTGTTGATGCATCATCTTTTTTCAGATGATGAATAGTGAGAATAGTAGGACTAGGGGACACAAATATAAATTTTGGCATGGTAGAAGTCATCTTTAGCTCAGACATTTTCATTTTTCTAACAGGGTGGTTGATCTTTGGAATGAGTTGCCTTCGGATGTTGTAGAGGCAGTAAATTTAAGTGAGTTTAAGAAAAAGCTTTAAGTATATGAAGGATAAGGCCTGGCTTTAAGATTTTTTAAACATTTATTTTAACTTAGTTTAGAAGAATGGAACAGCCGAAATGGAGCAATAGGTTCCATGTTGTACCAAAACGTTATGTTATGTTAACTTTATTTAATAAAATTACACCTACATAACTTTATTTAATAAAACTATTCGTAAAGTAAACAATAAAGTATGGTAATGGTATGTATGATAGTGTACAGAGTTTGAAACGGTTATAAACGTTTTGTGTATGACACGGTTTTACGAGTTGAAATAAAAAAAACTCGCAAAAACGAAGTATAAAATCCGCACTAAAGAAAAAACAGTTAAAAGGTCTTTACAGGAGTCTATGAAACTAAATTTTAAATATAAATCCAGTCGTCACGTGATGACAACGACGTTGTGTAGCATGCTCGTTTAAAAGTTTGACTGAGCAAAAAACAAGTAAGGTGATTCTGAATGGGAAAGCCAATATGCAATCCAGACTCTTTGGATAAAGGCATTTCTAACGTTATGAATTTTGTAGCGTTTGATCGAGAAATTTGCAATAAAAATTCCGGACAGCAAAAGACAAGCGTCTTATTTATGTAGATGCTTATTAACTTTGTATGTAAAGTTTTGAACTGTTAAAATGATGTTACACTACAGGCCGTCAGAGGGCGAACATAAACCTTTCTTCTTCGAAAGTGGTAGAGGTATCAAGAAAAATGGTAAGTTTGTTTTAATTTTTATTATTTAACTGTTATTATATTAGTTAGTTAAGAAATGCAGTGTGTTATGAGCCTTTGAATTTATTATAGTGTGATGTCCAACGGATCATTTGTAATTGCCATGTCTAAACCTTATAATTAAGAATATCGATGAAACTGCTAACAATAACGGGCAGTAATGGTCGTACTACAAATATAATGTTAGTAATAGTAGTTAGCCCTAGAAGTAGAAGTGCGTGGAGACTGGTCTCCGGCGGCTCTGCATTACTTGCCTAACCTGATGGAATTACGTCTGTTTTTGAGTCAGAAAACGTTTTCAAATAACCGTACTTTGATATCAAGTATCCTAAGCCTAAACTTTGTCAAAAATGGGCTAAATAATATAAGTAAAAAAATAAACAATTTTTTTTTGGCACAATGAAACTGAAAGATAAAATCTTTTCAATTTTTAGCCGACTAGATCATCAGAGATATTGTTACCTAAGTTTGTGGGCTGAAATAACCAAAAGATTTAAATTTTTATCTTTAACGTCAAAGCTCCATTGTACCAAAAAAACGAAATAATTTATTTTATTAAATTTTTGCTCTTGTTATAGTAGCACAATGTGCTTGAAAAAAATACACACAAAAAAAAAACCGACTGTTGGTATTACTATTATCACATAATTCATTATAATATAACAATTGTAAATATAACTAAACAATGAGAGAGAGGGAGTTAGTTATTTTAGCTTATAAGTAGCTAATAATAATTTTTCTAGTAATTTTATTCAGTATAACCAGGACGGAAGGACTAAACTTGAAGTAGCTGGGCTTGTCTATGCATTCCCATGTTATACTTAAATAAATCTTTGGGAGAAAGGGAGGAGGTTGGGAGTTAGAACTATATAAGAACTTTTAAGGTAGGGTGTATAGTTCTATTCAACATCTTTTTGTAAGGGTGGAGGTTGGGAGTTTAATTAATAGAAATATTAGGGTGGCTTTATTTCAATTCATTTCTACTTTAAGAAATTTAAGGGTAACTGCCTTTCTACAACTAGCTATAGACAGTGAAAGGCAGTAGAATCTGAGATGTTGTGGGTGCAAGCACTCAGCTTCATACCCTTATTTGATTGATTTTGATTTTCTATGACGGCTGACCAGATTGACATCGGTGTTTGGATATTATTTGATAGATGGGATATCCCCAATGCAATTGGGTGCTATTACCACAGACATTATCCACTATGACAATAAGTTGACAACCAGGAATGATAACGGTATTGCAATATTTAATTTTTTTCTCTATGAACTTCAGTATTAGGAATCGTAAGTATCAATATTTAATCATAATATTGTTGAAATGTACATTTAAAATATTTTGGGTTCCTTTGCATCAAATTTAAATTCACTACTTATCCATTCTATGTGATTAAATATTTGCTTTCTTGACATTTGGCCTATGTACTTGGTGTTTGTTTATTTTCTATATTACACTCAATAAGTGGAGCCATGAGTTTAGTTTTCGATGCATAAGAAAGTCTCTACCTAAGCCCAAGGAAAACGGGAAATAGTAATTTTTTTTCAGGTTTAATTTAACATTTAAGGACAAGGGGCCTGTTGGTGCATTGAGGCTGACACAACCACTAAACTTAGAAAAAAAACAAAAAACCTCTGATTGTAATTCAAATAATTATCAAGTCTTCTCTTGAATTCTCTTAACTGAACTGCATCCACCACATTTAAAGACAATGTATTCCAAAGTTCAAGATGATTGTGACAGAATTAATCTTTGTGTCTCCTTGTCCTACCATTCTCACCACTAACTGTGAAAACAGATGATGCATTGACACTTATCAATTTTCTTAATCTTAAACACCTCAATCTGATCCCCACTAATGTTTTTTAAAAGAGAAAATTTCAGATCTGAAACTGTCCTTATATTACAACCTATCCATCCCAGATATCATCCTGGTAGACTCCCTCTGAACCCTTTCCAACAGTTCAGTGTCATTTATAAGGTAAGGAACACAAGAATGAACACAATACTTCAAAAGAGGCCTAACCAATGAAATTATAACCTCTTTAGACTTATATTCAATATTTCTGTAAATACAGCATAAAATCCTATTTGCCTTACCACATACAACAGTACACTGTGTGAGTGGCTTAAAGGACCAATCAAACAAAACAGATTCTTTCTTTCATAATACTTAAGTTATTCCCACCAAAAAAGAAGAGGTAGGGAGGGGGGGACTAATTGAGATGTGAAAACTTAAGTATATGAATCGTAAGTGCTGGCTTTTTAAGATTTTTATTTTTAATTTATTTGTTAATAGTTTCAGTTTAGTTTAGAGGATGGAACAGCCGAGATGGACCAATAGATTCCATGTCTCAAAACGTTCTGTTATGTTTTCAAAATTATACTGTATTGGCCCAATCATAAGGGGATGTTTTTTAATTAATAATTAGGCTGTAAAATTCATAGTCACCTTATAATCATGGCCAACCACAGGCCACTTCCCCCTACTTTAGCCTATCGAATTCCTGAATATTCAGGTAGCATCCATCTGTGCATGCTTTCCAGATGTTTGCTCTAGATCAGCACTAATTCACCTGCAGACTGTTTAATTATAGTATTGATTTTGCAGACCTAAAAAGGACATCATGACACTCAGTTTTTTTTTCTTTCCATGGTTTCTGAAAATGGGGTTGCTCACTTCCAATGGACAGTGGAAGTGATTGTTTAGGCTGGAATGTAGATATCCCCTTGTTTCTTTGTTGCACACTGTCTCGATCATATGGCAGTTGTTTGGCTATGTATTACCTCTAGTTGCTATTCTCCACACCTTTTACCATCTCTGACCAGGTAAGTTCTTTTTTCTTTATCTTAATTTTACAGGGTCCTCTTATGCCTTACAGGATCCTGCTTAAGATGGCAAGTATTGCTTGTCCATCTTCCATATCTAGTGTTGGCCTGCATTTATAAGTAGGGTTTTATGGTCACATTGTGACTATTTTATGGTGATGTATGCCTCTGAGCTCTACAACATGCTTTCAAAAACACCTTTCTTTTCTTCTTTTGGAGTATGGGAGTTCTAGCTGCTGGGATTGTAGACTATGGAGACTGCCTCCTGAGTGTGACTAATTCTAATCAGTAGAGAGTAGAACAATGGTACTCTGTCAGTGCGATGCCGTTCACCCCTTTGGCTGGCTTTTTCCATCCTACCACTGCTCAGGTGTCAGGTTCCTGGGTGGTCTGGTGTTTGATTGGAGGACCAGCCAACACAAGTTCTTAGTTTTAGTTTGGATAATAAATTCCCTTTCTGCCTCCCTGAGCTTGAAGTTAAAATGTTAGGGACCCTCCTCCCACAGTGGCTTGGACAACACATTTCCAGTGCCACCTGGTTTTGGATTGGAGATGACCAAATGTGTACAATCTAATGTGCCCTAGCCATGTTAAACATATACCATTTGAGCCTGATGCAGGTTCTTGACTGTCCTAGCAACACTTCTTTACAGGCAAAGTGTGTATCCTGGTGCAGATGAGATGTGGTCTCCCATGCGGGGCTCATCTGGGTACAGTTTGCACTGGTCCTTCCATCACTTCAAGATGGTATCCTAGCCATATGTGAGAAGAGGTTGCATATTGTATCAAAAGTTAATATTTTACAACCATGAACATGTATTTCTGACAGATACCTCCACCCACCCTTTCTCCCCTTTTTTGGTGCTTCTTTTTTTTGCCTAATCTTGAAGTGATGAATGAACAATCAGTATATAGAGGGTGTTAACTGCACTAGGAGGTTGTGTTCCCCTCCTGTTGGTGGGAGGGGTTGTCACATGCTATTTGCATGCAATATCACATGGAAACACAAGTTTAGGTGGGAGCCTCAAGGCTAGTAGTAAGTGAGAGAATTTGCATATAGAGGACAGCATTGAATCGGGAGAGTTATATGCAAGAGAAGGTGTCTATCGGAAATACATTTTGAGTGTTGGAAAATGTTAACTTCCATTGAACAGAAGCTCTAATCAAGTTATTATTCTAGCATGGTTTTAATAAAGTTGAAAATTTTTCATTGTTACGTACTCCAGATTAGCCAGCAGTCTAGGTTGATTCATGAATTTAAGGTCAAAATATAATTCAAGGGAACTGGTTATTGTTTAAATTTGAAAGGATTTGTGAATCATGTAATTTGAGGATAGAAACCATTCCTGATGTTTATTCTTGTGAGAATATTTTGTTTGCCAAAATGAAAGATAAAATTCACTCAGAATAAAGTTTAGAAATACTGAACAAAAATCCAAAATTAGTATTCCAAACTAAGGACCCTACGTCTACTCCTTTGCTTTCGTTGGTCATCCACCAATCCGCTTGTGGTGACTGTAAGGCCAAATATATTGGAAAAATCTTGTTGATTTTTTTATCCTAAAAGTCTGATTTCTAATGATTTAAATAAATTTGATAGTAATAACAATTCACTTGTTTAATCTGATTCATGCCATAGCAGTTATTTTCCATGAAAATTGATATATTTTGTGCCTAGACTACTACTATGTGTGTCGTATTCTAGCCAGCACTAGATATAGCATTGTAGTGTGGTTGACATTATATTCTTCTCTGCTTTCACTCTTGGTTTCTTAGGTTTACATCAGTTAAAAAATGTGACTGTGAATAGAACTGATAGAAAGTGTACATGCAGACCTCAACTTGTTCTGTCTCATAGATCCTTTAAATATATAGTGTTACAGATTAGTTTACTGATAATGGAATTCATAGATTCTGAAGCATTTCATCAAATATGTTTACACTTGTTGCTGTGGTGTTTTTGTTTTAAATTAACCTTCTTTAACAATAAGGAGTTATTGATTTTTAATGTGCTACTAACACTGGCATGAGTTTGTAATGTTAGTGGAAAAGGTTTAACAACATAATCCTCTATATAATTTTGTATTTACTTAATGCTCATAAAGTTTGATCTCTCACACCAGTACAACGAGAATTTGTTAAATCTAGGTACTTTCCAAATGAAGTTTGTGTGTGTGTGTGTGTGTGTGTGTGCTCTATTGGGTTTTGATTATTTCAGTAAATTAAAAAAGAATGGGGTACCCAGTGATAACTCTAAGCACACTGCCCTTTTAATTTCACTATGATAGATGTACTGGGATTTATTGGAAATGTAAAGGCTGGCCTGTAGAAGTAAAATATCTAATACTTTAAGGTGTTAAGTGAATGATGAAACAGTGTAATGTTTTTAAGTTAATAGAGGCAAGGTGTTAAGTGAATGATGAAACAGCTTTAATGTTTGTGGCTTGTTGTAGTTTTCTTAATCCTTTATGGTTTTTAATATTTGTTAAATTTTATTACAGTCTGATATTGCAAGCAGCAAACTTGCACTTAATTACCTTATTTGGCTTACTATCATTTTATTGTACCTCTAGCCCTAAAATGTGGTATTAACAGCAGTTTTGTCTTGTTGATATTTCCTGGTTTTCATAATTCATAACTGTTGAAGAATTTAAAAAATCTTTATTTTAATAGATTTGAAAAATTACCTTCCCAAGGTTAAAGTGAGCCATGATTCTGTACAAAAACCTAGAAGAATAATGAACTAACATGTTCACTGTCAGTGCATCATCGGTGTTATGTTTGGTATTCTTATTGTATCACCAGTGTTGCATATTTATCTACCTTGTATAGAACTGATTTGGCCATCTAGTCCATTGGTGTCTAGTTGAAGATAAAAATGAAGTATTATGTTGCATGTATCACTGGTGACACATTTCGTGTGAGTGTAGACGTGCAACTACTTTGCTCAAAATAATTTAATAATGTAAGAATAAACAAAACATTTTATTGCATAGAAGCTTAAAATAATACAAAATAAGCATAAGAATGTGAAAGTGAAAATAAAGATGCATTTTGTGATGAACTTATCCAAAAATAAAATTGCTTGTTTGTACAATAAGTGCATTGAGTAGAAACTAATTTGCCTTTTTTTCCTACTATCCATTTTTTCTGGATACCTGGCCATTTCAGTATTAGGGGGCATGAGCTTGCTGACACTGCAGCTAAGTTTGTCCGCTCTGGTGCTGTCACAGTTGTGTCCATATCATTACAGTCCTGTGTTCAGGGCTTGGCTTCTCTCCAGTTGGTAGTTGATTTGGAGTGAGCAACATCATACCCTTTTCCAAATCAAACCTTCTGTTGTTCTTTGGTCATTTAGTTTCTGTAAGGATTAAAAGGAGGAAGTTGTCTTGGCTAGGCTACACATTGGTCAGTTTTTTAACTCACTGTTTTCTTTTATCTGGGACTGATCCACCAATGTGTGGCCTTTGTGACACTCAAGTCACAATAACCCATGTTTTACTGTCATGCCATCATTACGACTGTAAATGGCAGCACCATTTTCAACATGTACTTTCTATAGGTTTACTCCAGATGTTGGACGGTGTCATTGATGGTGACATTGTCCAACTTGATTGTGTTTTTCAATTTTTACGGGCCACTGACCTTTTTTTATTCTATTTAAATTTTTTACCTGTTTTTTGGCATTGTTTGGTTTTTAGCTTGGTTTCTTTTTAGTTTTTGTAGTATTTTACTCATTGTTTGGTGCAGACAGCCCCAAACCAAACTGTTTCTTTCTAGCAACGTTTGGTCCTTCTACTTCATATATCTTTGAATAATGGGTGTTACAACGTGAACTTTCCTGGTGGTTGTCAGATGTTCTTTCTTCTGTATCTCCATAGTTATAATGTCATCAGCCCCCCCCCCTGGTGCATAGAAGTAAGATTCATCACCATATCTCTAAAAAAAAATCAGCTGTTTTCATTTTTTTGTCATCACTTTCTTTGTTGTGTAGCAAGTAAGTTCACTACAGCTGTGTTCAGTAACAACTCAAACTACTTAGTGAGACCATTTTTGAAGTGGACTATAGTGGCTTGCTGTTTGGTCAGATAAATCAATGCCCTGTTTGCATGTATTGTAATTCTTCTTGTTTGTGGAGCTCAGTTTTCCATCTTTTTGATTGATAAGAAATATACCTTCCATTTATCTTGCCAAACACCGATTACTATACCATTGTTTTCCTTGGTAATGTATTCACCCTTCTTCATTTTTTTTATGATCAATAAATGGAACTGCTTTGCAACTTTGTCAATGTGCATTGAAGGTGAGTCTTCTTTTGAAAGACATTTTTATGCCAGCTCAACATATAAATACAAAATATCCATAGTAAGAGTTCTTCCTTCATTGAAATAGTCTTCCATCAGTACTTTCAGATGAATAAGAACTGTCATCCATATCAGTTTTATTTACATCTGTAAATGAAAAAAGAAAATTTAATATACATGGTTATTATAGCTTGTGTGAAGTCTAAACACTATAAATGATTTGTATCAGTAGCATATGTTAAATCTAAATCCCCCAAGCACTATCATGGTTACTTATTTAGGTAGGTATGTAAGTACAGTAATGTGTGTGACAGAACTATTTACCATAAGTAATTTCGGCAGTGCTTGGGTAATTTAGATTCACTGAACATCTCTGGTTTGTGTTCACCTATAATGCATTGGCATGTGAATTATATGATAATTAAACAGTATGTCAGTGCATCACTGAACACAAACTACTTATATATAGAAAGTTTTACTATGTTTTAATTGCCCTTTAATTATAAGAGGAATGTGGCTTCTGGAAATTACATATAAGAAGTCAGAAATTTGTCACAGGCATCCAACTTGCTTACATTTCAAATATTGTGTGTAAGACAGGCCAGTAGCAAGTTTTATTGAGAAAATAGTGTCAAGACTTCCTTACTGGTTTTTGAATTCTTTACTGCATTTTTACAACTACATATAAATGCTGTTGTACATAGAAAGCAATGTAAAAAATGTAATAATTTTACCTTTTGCCTTAGAGTGAGATTAGGACCCCAGATTTTGTGTAGAAGTTTCACCATTGTCAAAATATTCTGCTATGATTACTAGTTAACTTTTTTTTACAACTGGATCAAAGTGTGCACATCACAACCTTTGGTTTCGTTCGAAACTTAACTATTGTCTGTGTCCATAAATAAACTTGGCATCAATACATAATTTATAATTTAACTTTTGATATTTCAATTTCAAAAAGAAATAGTTAAACAATTCTCAAACTTCACTTGTCAGTGTCACACGATGCTCTTAATCCTCCTTTTTAAATGTTGACTTCATCTTCCTTTATGCAGCTTTCGGTGTCACACGATGCTCTTAATCCTCCTTTTTAAAAGTTGACTTCATCTTCCCTTATGCTGCTTTCGGTGTCACACGATGCTCTTAATCCTCCTTTTTAAATGTTGACTTCATCTTCCCTTATACAGCTTTCAGTGTCACACAATTCTGTTAATCCTTCTTTTTTTAAATTTTGACTTAATCTTCCCTTATACAGTTTTTGGTGTCCAAGCAATTAGAAACACAAACTATATGTAATTGCAAACACAAATCTAACAAGATATCAACAAACCCACTAGAGAAGCCCCTTACCTCTTTGTCTATCTTATTATATTATTTGTTAAAAGTCCTTACAAGGCTGCTTTGTTTTTAACCAGTTGAAAAAAACATTTTTCTTCTCTATAGAATTTTTTAAAAGCTATAATTTGGATTGTATTTGGTTTCAGTGATCATAGTTCTTTGTTCTGGGAGCTTGCAGACTTTTTTTAATCTGTTTCTAGCTTATTTAGAAAGCCATGTAAATTACAGTACTTTTGAGACCTTCTTTTCCAGTGTCCAATACATTTCTTATGTTCTAAGGAGCATAACTGTAAGCCACATGAACTTGTATTTCAACTAAGTGAAAAAAAGTGAGGCTAACACACAGTTAACAACTTACACTCGCAAAGATCACCTGGGTCACAAACTTTGCTCCTGTTGTTTGTGCCAGATGGCTAATGGGCTCTCACTGTGACTTTTGATAGTGGAGTGGTCTGAAGCACGAGTAGTAAAACCATAAAATTGAAATGAATGTGAAAAGATTAGCAGTTGAAATTGTGAATATAAGAATATTAAAAGTCTTGCTGAATGATACATTCAAAGAAGAAAAAAAGCTATTGTTTTTATACTTTTGTTACAATTAGTGTTAGGGTAGAGAAAATAACATATAAAATATATAGTTTTAACAGGAAAGAAATTATTAATTTCTGAAGCCACAAAAGTATTTTGATTCTTAGCATGAAAACCACCTTTCACTCAGTAAACTAACAGACAAATTTTTAGTAGAAATATGTTATGTCTCTTCAAAGAGATACTGTTTCTCAGTTGTTTCTTTTTCCAAGCACTTTTCAGTTGACTGCCATTCCTTCACTTCTTGGCATTTTGACTTTAAACTTGATAGGGTTATACCTTGGTTCGATATGTCCAGACACCTTTTTCTTTTTTTGATTTAAGCTGTTTTAAAGATTTTATGAGATCAAAGGTAAAACATTCCAAAAATGTATATTTTAGGCTCCTGTGCAGTCATATTTACAGCGATTAAGATGAAAATTGGCACAAATATGTTCATGCTCTAAACACGAACATGAAGTTTAGTTTTTAGGAGGGTCAGAGCTTGCAAAAACAAAAAACAATTTTGGGGCTTTTAGTCAGTTACTTGGTCATATTTTGACCAATTGTCATGGGATTTGATAGATTTTTCTACAGGCAACACATTGAAAAATAAAAATGTTGGACTTGATCATTTTTAGTGATTATAGGGGGGTCAAGATGCCACAAAGCATAATTTTAGGGTTTTTTGACAATTTGCTGTATTTACATGGGATTTGGTACAGAGATAAAAGCAGTTCTGGAATTGTATTTTGTTCAATTTTTCAGCAAGGAAAGTACAATTTGGGGTTTTCGTGAACTGTACATGGGATTTGGTACAAAGGTACCTTCTTGCCGGTCCCAAGCAGTGATTTTGACAGTATTCAATTTTTCTGGTGTCAAAATTGGCCATGTTGAGATTGCGTGGTATAGACATGTTGCATTCACCCTCTATGTAATTAAAAGATTTGCTTTTTTGTGCACAACTGATTTAATGCTTACTCTACTAAAGGCATACCAAATTTTGTGAAGATACAATTAGTACATTCATATTTATATTGTGTACAACTTCACACTTCCTGGGTGGGTCAAATTGACCCACTTTGTACAGAAAGTGTTTAAAAACTTATCTAAGTTAAAGGAGAAGAATTAAATTGGCATTCCAGATTGTGGAAGCTGTGGGTAGGATGTGAGCTTACATTTTATAGAAGAAAAAACTCAATGAAAAGTAGAGCCATGAAATTACTCAATTACATGTGAGGATCAATTAATGTCGTGAAAATAATCAACTAAATCAAAATATTGCCATTATGATTTTTAATTATTTTTGATGGAATCTCAACTCATGAAAGCAATCAATTTTTCTGATTATTACGGATTTCAATTATTCCAACAATCGAAGTTTTACTTAAGAATAATCCACTGATTAAATGTAGACAATCAACCTAGAGAAAAGTCATCCATATTAATGATTATACTACCTAATGCTTCTCGGAGCATTGACATTTTTCATCATTAGTCTAGTTCTGCTTCTGGCAAAGTTTTCAGAGGATTCCACTAAAAGTCACGTAATATAATTCCTTTTATTTCAGTAAATTTATATTAATTTTCAAGTTTTCTTATCAGTAAAGTGGTGGGGTAACAATAGGAAAATATAGACCATGTGCGATCCTGTTTCTAAAGATTTAACTTCTGCTAACTTAAAAGATAAGGAAACAATATTCAGACATTTCATGTGCCATACGACTGCTGTTCCACATATTGCTAAACCTCAAACAAAAGTAACTACAAATCATGCATGCACGAAACTGCTCATCTCATTCAGTGAATCACACCACAAAATAAGAAACCTTGTACTCAAACTTATTTTGTAACCTATCATGACTGCTTAAAAAAATATGGATATTGCCCAAATTTCAGAACCCACTTTGTATAAGCCATACTGAAAAGGAAATTCTGCAGAAATAAATTGGTTTTTATTCACTATATTTTGGGTGGGGAGTTAGGTATGATAAACATTTCTGATTGCCAATCACAAGCAGAAAATGTATGAAACAAGAGCAAGAGAGTGAGACTTCACAAGAAAGGGTACATGCCTTGACAGTCAATGAAAGAGACAAGCTGCTCATCATCAAGCCGAGACGGAGCAAGAGTGGCAATTTCACAGAAACAATGGAGGCATCTGTCATGAAGAGCACCATTTACAAGAACACAAGACCTTCATTTGATCTTTTGTTTAAAAATAGCTAAACATTGGCACTGTTCAGGTGATGATGGTTAGGGTTAAATAAATTTAACCTTCCTTATACCAGAGTAGACCAAGCAGAATATAAAGGCTTGAGTGGTTTAAACTAATCTCTTCTCTAAGAAAGACAGTTTGACAGCATTTGATGGACAGCAACATACCTCTATAAAATACACAAATTTTTCTGGTGTCAGCTCAAAAATCCTATCAGTCCTCTGTGGAAAAAATTTATTACAAAGTTTTCAGTCACAGCCATTAAACCTGAGTATGCTGATTCCATATTTTTATAAGGGCTGAAAGATGTGAACAAATAGACCCAAAATTAGCTTTATATATTAGATTCTGGCTTATGTTTACCCAATGTTATTAGTGAAAGAGTTATGACACAAAGGTTAACAGAAAAGTCTTAGTAGATATATGTATAGATCAACTTGTGTCATATATGTTTAAAATAAAGTATTAAACTTTTTTTTTCTTTATAGGGGGCCCACAAAACTTTTAAAATAAAACAGAAGTTGGCTAAGAAGATGAAACAGAATCGTCCTATTCCACAGTGGATTCGGATGAAAACTGGAAACAACATCAGGTAAGAGAAGATGTATCTTGGTATAAGAAATCAACGATTACAGAAAGAATGCATTGAGTAATTAAGGTGTTGCTACCACACCACTGTTTTAAGACTATACTTTTAGGTCAGGCTGTACATGTTTTTTCATATAGATGGCAAGTGAATTTTCACTCAACAAGAGTTTGTGAATTGCATCCAATACTTAATATTCGAGCCCCACAAGTCTTGATTATAGGGAAATATAACTTAAAAATGAAAGAAAAGCCATTAGTTTAATGTTGAAACTCTGGTTAGGTTTTTTACATAGACCCAAAGTTTTTCTACCACACTGTACACCTAAATATAAGAATTTTTTAAACTCATTAACAACATTCCAAAAATTAAGGAGAATTTTTTTTTTTCCTGTGTGATTTAGAACTTACTTTATTTACATGAAATTTATATTTTTTTTCCTTAGGTATAATGCAAAAAGGCGTCACTGGAGAAGAACAAAACTGAAACTGTGAACATTAAGGAGAGAGAGAACTTTTGTGCTGTATCTCATTTCCTTTTGTCAGTAATAAAATGCAAGTAAACTTATTATGTAATTAGAAAATTTATTTACTAAAAAATACAATTTTATATCATACAACTCATTATTTAACCAGTATCTTCTTAAAATCACTTTCCCAATTCAGTTTGTGAATTAGGGAATTAACATTTTCCAAGATATCACCTGCAAGAAGAAAAAAATATTAAATTTATGACTGCTCATTAAAAACAGATTCCATATTTGGTGGTAGAGATTATTAATGATAATATACACTGTTCTACAAGTTTTAAAGCTAGTTAAAATGATCAATGTTAATCAGTACACAATTTCAAATCATGTATTGTCTGTTTTAAGGCTCGTGATTGGTCATAGAATAATTGATATGCAAATACTTACCAGTCTGGATCACATCATTCTCTCCACCTGCCCTGAATGAACCCACAGTATCTCTGTTAATTAATAACCTGGGAATTTTTTTCCAAACTAACTCTGAAATGCTTGCAAAAGGTTCAACCTAAAAATATAATAAAACACTAAATGTGCTGTTTCTTTAATAGATATTTTACAAACAAAACTTTGTAACTTGGTGAAAATATTTTCTACCCACTAAGTAATGAAACCTTATAACCTGAGAATTTTCAAAAGATAGATCTTCCTTCTTCTGTGGTGAACTGAAAACGAACAGTTTGCCCCTAAAGTAAAAAAAAAAGTCCACCTTTTTGGACTGTGCTTGGTTTGTATCTGTTTCTTTTCCTAACACCGTGAAGGTCTTTTTTTTTTTTTTTATCTACAAAATTTGTAAGGGTTACAAATATTCTGAAAAATATCTAACATGACAAAATCAATACTACATTAACTACTGATATAAGAAAAAGGAAACTACATCAGTTAATTTATGATTATGTGCTTTTTGTGGACGAGTAAGATTTTGTCAGACATCAACTTATTAAACTTGAATAATAGGTCAATACTTCCTTCCTGGTATAACATCTATGTACAAAAACTACAGACCTTGTATAATTCAGTTTTAACACTGATGATATATAACTTGCATGTTATGGTGCTACAAATGACATCAGCTTTCTTGTCTTTCTTTTCTAAAATAAAATACAGGATCAAGACTAAATGATCGGTTACACAAATCATACAAGGCATAAAAAGTTAGGCTTACCTCTAATGATGTGCCCATTACAATTAACAGATCAGCACGAGGCATGTCTGTCATGTGGTACCAGAATCGTGCTGGAAGCTGCTCTCCAAAGAATGTAATGTCAGGTTTCACAACCCCCTTGAGAGAGAGATTCATTAAAAACGCTACTTTTACAGAGTAATAAAGCTCCAGAATTTCAAAAAACATCACTGATACTCTAAAATTATTGAATGAAACTGAAATTAATGGTACTTGTTAATTTCAGATCATTAACTATTTATTTCACCACAAGTCTATATATAGCATGGAGGTTTAAGTTACATTTACAATATAAAGTTGGTTTGATGAACTATTTATATACCTTAAAAATATTTAGTCACCTAGGAAAAGTAACTTTGTTGTTTATTAGCTTCTAGCCAATCTACAGATCAATATCCTGTTGGTATTAAATTATTTTATAAAATGTTTAGTGTTGTGGTGAAGTAAAAGCTATGAAAATATGAAATACTCGGTCATATTGTAATATAAAGAAAAAGTTTAGTGTCTACCTTTACTAGTAAACAAACTAAGACTGTTTATTTAGAGTAAATTATCATTTTCAACATTTTATAAATGTACCGTTTTATTAAGTTTGAAAAACTTTAGTGTATTGGATAATTGATGTAGAGTTAACAAACTAGTTTAAAAAGAGTCTGCTTAAATTCATTGAAACTGTTGTATGTACAAATATGACTTGGTTAACTAATGTTGTGGTAGCAGTTCTGGCTTATTAACTTTTGAGTTGTGCGATTTATATATAAAAAAAACAGTTACTGGCTTTTCATATTCTAATCTAAGTACAAATCATACATTAGTTTGTAACATTTTGGTTTCAATTTCCTTTAAAAGTTAATGTCTCAAATAACAATTTGTTTGTCAAAACATTTTATAAATTGTTTAAGTTTGGGATTTGTGAGAAACAAGAACATCTGATTAAATATTTCTTGATAGAAGTGAAAAGTACTTCAAGTATTTAATTATAAAGCAAATAGATCATTGAAATGATTTGTGGTTAAAATGTTCTATAATTTTTTTTTTCTCTCTCTAGGACAGGATATTTGCTGATGAGATACCAAACTGTAAAAAGCAGAGATGCAAGGTGTGTGTTTAAGTTTGGAAAAATAATAACAGTATTGTTCGAATGGATATTGGTACTATAGTTTGAAACTATATAGGTTAATAAATTCGTTAGTGTTCAGTGGACAAAACTAGAAAACTATGAAGTTTACTACTTATAATTTAGACTCTGCCGCTGTTATAATTATGTTTCAACTCTACGCATTAAACTTTTGTAACATACACAAAGAGTATTAATAGAAATCAACAACCAATGTCTGTTCTAAGAAGCATTAATTTACCAGATCAACTTCTTGAAGACTGATGCAGATAATTCTAATTGTTCATAAAAGTTTCCACGACATAGTTCTTCAACTCTCAAGCAGCTGGAGAATGTACTGGACACAGCACCTATGGATTTTTGAAACAGGTGCTGAAAACCATTGTCCACGTATGCTATATGGAAAGATGTAGGGAAGAGGGTGTGCTTTAAACATGACGGCACTTTGCAATAGAAACTAGGCTGCAGGGTGCTTTTGTTTATTTGTTATTAAAACAAATTACACAATTGGCTATCTGTACTGTCTACCATGGCTATCGAAACCTGATTTTTAGCATTACATATATATATATATATATAAGCCCTCAAACTTATGCTTAACCACCAGTCACCAAACAGAGCATGGCCATGTGTAGTGAGGCATTATATCATTTTAGTATAACATACTCTACCTCTGTTCATGGTATATCCATTTTTTTTTTTTACAGATCTTACAAAATATAAAACTTTCTCATCCTGCCATAATTCTTGCACCGCAGAAGGATTTCCACGATTAAAAATTTTGATGTACAAAAGAAAAATTTAATACATTACAAAAAAAATTTAGCAGAATACATCAAGACCTTGGAGAACCACAGATTGAAGCCTACGTAACAGGGAAAAAAGTTGCAATACCATGCTTCAGCTTTACAGCAACACTTGTTATTTCTTGGATATTAATTTACCAACACGAAATGTTACTTAAGAAGTTCTCACACAAAATTCTTATCATTTTCTTTGAATTTCTTATTTTTTAATGACTCAGAAACAAGACCCTTATGTGCCAAGGGTTGAAAAATTAGTATAACAAGTTTTCTTACTTTAATCTCCTCAGAAGAATATTTTGTTCCACACTTGATACAGGAAGCAGTGTTGAAAGAACCATGGGCTTCTACTAGTTTCTCTGATGGTATTCCTGCTACTGTAATAGTAGATCCACTATTGTTACTCCCAAGATTTCAAATATTTTATAAGCAGAAAACTTTTCAACTTTTAAGATCGAGTCATTTTTTATGTCTTTAAAAACATTGTTTTGGTAAGTTTCTGGTAAGAGAGCTCACAAAAACATTAAACTTGTTTTAGGCCAGTGTTGAAAATTGTTATGAAAATCAACTTAACCACAGATGGTCTTTTTTTTTCTTTTTCTTCTAATATTCATCTACATTTGTCCATTGCTGCTCAGAATCAGGGTGTGATTTTAAGCCACAGTGGACATGTGAAAAAAAAAAAAGACATCTGTAGTTAAGTTGATTTTTACACCAATGTTTAAGCCTATTGTTTTTTAATAGTTTGCTGGCTTTTGGCACTTAAAACTGTATCAGAACTGTTCTATCAACATAAGTATATATACATAGACAGTGGCATGCCATGACTGTTAGCAAGGTGTGCAAAAACTTCTTAGATGAGAGACAAAAATGTTGTCTACTTGTGTGTGTATATACAATAATGATTCACAAACCCTCAAAGCTAACAATAGCTCAATCAATAATACTTTATAACTAAAATTTAAGAACTTATTTGCAAATAGTAATAATATATATATACATATGTAATGTATTATAACCAAAATTGAACAGTACTTTACAAAATCCTGGTTTACTAGAACAAACTGAAGACAGGTCATTTTGTAAAGGCCAGTTTTATACTACTTGATACAGTAACAAGAGTGCACATATGCCACGTCATTGCAACTTCTGTAATGTTGTAGTTAGATACAACTGAAAGGTCGATAAAATAAAAATAATATATATATAATGTTATGAGATTTTAGCTATTTAGACTATAAACATTTGTGGTTTCTTGTTATAATTTGTAGTCATTTTTATGTTGGTTACGAGGTTGGTCAAATCAACCAAACCCTTACAGAGATACATTAGTGAAAATAACAGGTAAAATGTAAAATATTTTCTAAAAGAAAAAGTTTGATAATTATCTGGAGGTTATAAAGATTTTGCATGTGAAATCTGACAATTTTCTGATGCATAAAAGTAATTTTTATCTTCAAATCAAAATTACTTTGCATAGTCAACATTTGAAAAAAAAAATGGATGAGCAAAGCATTACATAAAAAATCTGACCTTTTGTGTACGAAAGCCTTGTAATGTTTACTGATAATCTGCAAAATTTTGTGAACATACGCTTACTGTATTAAAAGTTATAGTATGGAAACTATAACAAACACAAAATGGTTACAAGGTTGGTTCCTGGGACCAAGCCCACAGTGAGAGAGTTAATGGCCAGTTTCCATCATGAATGATTCAACTTATAATTGCACACACCTTAGCTACTGTTTTTAAACATAAGCCACATTGAGAGACACACCACTACAGGTTGCCATAGGCAATAGCACTGCATGGGTTGACCAGATTTTTAAATATGGGCCTATATATATATAGTTTCATATTTTTCGAAATTACTCAATTCTGGGACTTGTCACTGTATACAAATCAGAATTACATAATGTAAAATCAAAAATAAACTCAAATTTTCTTTGGAACTCTTGATAATAAAAAAACAACAACTTAGTGTACAATTTAAAATCCCTTCTTTTATTTTTAATTCTTTTAGACTCACTTGGAAGAACCAAAGATAAGTTCACAGATTGTGTTAAATTAGCATAACCAAGATTTATTTACTATGTATTAATATTTTTAGTGTAACTACAACTTTTCATGATCATTAACCACTACCGTGAAAGAGTAGGGTTACATTTTCAACACACAGAGAGTTCGAAAGGCCCTGCAGCAAGAGGTAAGAACGTGAATTTGATGGTAAGAAATTAACAACTTTGCAACGGTCTAATCCACCGAGTTAATTTTGAGCATTTTGAAAGATGAACAGAAAAATAAAACCTACAATTGGGAAAAAGAAATTGACTCTACAGAAGACATCTATTGTTAATGTAAGTATTTCTATCCTCTGATATACATGTGGTCTTTAATATATAGCTCAATGCATACACAGTTTCTTAAACCAAAGAATCAACACTTGGGATAGGAATACAGACAATAATGGTGCAGAATTAATAGTATACTGGTGCAATACATAAACATTACATGTCCATACAGTAATGAAGTACTACAGAGTGGAAATACTTTGTCACCTATGGAATGAAATTGAACAAAAACTTCTTTAAATTAGTGTACATTAGTTGGGGCACAGACCATGTACTTAAAAGATTAGGCATTCAAATAGTAAATTTTAAAAAAGTCCCCCTTTTCACAGTAAATGCTTATAGTAAAAACACTATTCATCATTAGAGCCCCATCTGTACCACGTCACATTGCACATGATAAAACTTACACCTTTCCAGTCCATCTATATTCTGAGTATACATTCTGAGCAATTTCTTCTTCTCATGTAAAAGTTTCACAAAATAATGGACTTCATTTGGGGAATAATTTCCTGGGTATAGTTCTTTGGCTAGTGCAAAAAAGGGTCTTTGGTCCATGTAGAAGTAATCAATGTCAAACACTGCCTCTGGATATGGCAAGTTATACTTCTGAATGTTATCATACAATCCTGTACCAGGAGACCTGTAATCCAAACATAGCAACAAGTCACTACACAGAAAATAATATAAGGTGTTCATTATAGCTATCTTTAGTTCAATTGTTTAATGATCTTAACAGATAATAATCTCTTCATCAAGTTCAAAAGAAGTCTACATTGTTGTTATAATGGTATACCAACAATATATGTAAATGAGCAAACAATGTTTTTATCAAGTCCAAAAGAAGCCTGCATAGTTGTCATCCTGGTGTAATGGCAATATACCTAACTGAACAAACTGTCATTATCAAGTCCAAAAGAAGCCTACATTGTTGTCATAGCAGTGTACTGAGGATTTTCTTAACAAGAACTGTTGCTAAGGGCACATCACTCATTTAATAGTTGTAAATTTTCTAAAACAAACAGTAAAAGTTTGAAACCTACGTCCCAATTTGCTGGGCCACAAACTTCTGGAATCGCTTCAATGGATTATGAAAACAGAATGAGCTCTTAAATCTCGGAAATTATACACTGTCATTTTTATAGTGTAAAGATATCATTGTTCATCAGCAGTTTTCCGAAAGACAGCTTTAAAGATGTACTCACTACTTAAAGTAACTGTTAATTCCAAACAGTTAACAAATAAACCTTAAATGTGAAATCAAACAGGAAAAATTCATTCAACTCTCTCATGCATTGTGTAAGGGTCTCCTAGCCATACCACAAACAAACCATCAAGGGAATGGGCAACAGAAAATATATTAACAGACCACTACCATACACACAGCTGGAAAAACTAGGGGCAATTTTTACACCTAGAGCAGGAATATCAACAAAAGAATATAATATATAATATATATCTGTGTGTGGTATGACTGGATTCCTTGAATGAAGTGTCTACAATCACAGATATGACACTCAACTTACAGAACTAATAGCTGCACATAAAAAGCGAGATGTTCTTTCTATTAGAGCTTATTCCAGACATAAACAACGTAATCTTGGTTGTCGTACTGTAAATTTTTAGGTTATATATATATTGTGTTTTATTAATAAATTTATACTGTCATAAGTTAGTTCTTTAGAATAAACTCATAACAATCATGTACAATTAAACGTGTGTAAGTTTGTTTTGGTTAACTGATGAAAAAAGTGCAAATTGTGTTTATAAAACACCACCAATGTTATACTGTGTTTAATCCCCCCCCCAACTTGATTTACCTTGACATATGACCCATGACCTTATAAAGTTTGAGCAAAATCCATCCACCCAATCTTTAATTTCACCTCTTGAACTCTTTGTGAGCCAACCTGGTTTTTTAACTTGTAGCTACCCTTTTCTTTCTATAAGGAATATGTTTACATTGAATATTTAAATACTTATCTTTAAAAAATTTCCACATCTGATCAATCAATGTCTCCAAATAACTCAGCTGCCCAATTTACATCCCTTCAAAATTTGCTTTTTTGAAACTTGTAACCAAAATATCATTATTCCTCATCTCAATGTGCAGCAAGACATTGAACCTAATAGAGCAATGGTCACTTACTGCCAGATGTTCCCTAAT